CTTATATGCATCACCATTCAACAAAAGAGAGTTCAAATCCCAATCAGAACATATGTGTAAAAAACAAAAGACCAAATTTTTATAGTACGGACAGAATCACCCAAAAAATCGAAGATGCTTCACCTAAATAACCAATCCACCTGACTAAGATTCTGTATCCTACGACTACGATGTGAAGACTAGCAAGGATAAGTACTGAGCTCACGTTGAGAAGGTGAATTCGGTGAAGAAGATGTTGGTGGGTCAAGAAGATCTTTCCCAGCTTTGCGAAGACGTTTCTCAAGCGCTTTTCTAGAAACCAACATGACTCGCAACGATCGCTGGAATCGGAGTAGAGAAAAATCAGATTAAGCTCAGAAATTTCAAGGGTCACTGAAGAACAAAGCTAGGGTTTTTTTCCGTACCGTTTAGCTAAGAAAATAGAAGAAAGGAAATTTCTGGGAAGATTAATTTACTAGAGGAGTAATGAAAACCGGACTAACAACCTTCAAATTAATGAACCGGTCTAAATGAACTAAGCGATAATTTGGAAAAAAAATTACTACAGGGCTATTTTCGTAACTTCGGAGTCTCCCACCTAAATTAGTAGAAATAAGAGAGAGGCACATAATTTGAAATCTTAAGACTTACAAAGTATCATGGTATTGTAGTATATGAGATTATAATGAAAAACTCATCAAATATCACCGAAAAAATTTCATAGTTACTTGAGGATTTTGCATGAAAGATAATACATTTTGCTTATACATTTTAGAAGAGAGATGCATGAAAGCAATGTATATGGAATATCAAGGCTCTGCCGAAAGCATGTATACATTTTTTTTTTTTTTGAATGAATTTAAAATTATTCAAAAACTTCTTACAAACATCGTTCGGTTTACACACTTTTAAACATATGATTCAAAATAGCTTAATACAACCTACTACTCAAAGATAGATTCTTGTCTCGAGCCACCTTTCCATCATCTTCCTACTAGCTTGGAACCCGTATTGCGAGATGGAGTTGATTCTGTTGACTACGTTCTTGTCGATGATCTTAGTTAAGACCGTTGAAGGCTTTGCGCTT